CCAGCCCCAGCCTGACCTATGCCTGCCTGTGGGGCTGCAGGGGGGCCCAGAGGAGGAGGTCAGAGGCAGCGGCTTTGTCCTTGACCCTGGCTGGGCCACTGCAGGCCCTCCTGCCCTCCCCCTTCCCTGCAACATTTCAGATGAGTGAGCAAACGGTCGGAGGGCAGCCACACTCCCTCGAGCCAGGCATTTGAACGAGGGGTTTATCATCAAGAAGAGCAAGCCAGTCCGCCCGGACTCTCTCGAATGGGCAGAGAGGCCCCCTGCTGCCTTCCAGGTCAATATCGCAAAACCCCCCCCACCCAAGAAAATGTCCTGTCACTGCCTGGAGGGGCCTCTGATGGGCCACGACCCAAGGCACAGGGGGCTGGCCAGAGCGTAGCAGTACCAGGGCAGGAGAGGGGATAGGGCACAGCCCCAAGCCAGCCTCAAAGGCTGCCTCCCCCTGCCCCTGAGCTTACCTGATGCCAGCCACTGACCACTGGGGGAGACGCTGAGGCAGCGCACAAGGCTGGTGTGGCCACGGTAGATCTGGTGAGAGGAGAGGGTGGGAGAAGCGTGTGTTCAAAGGGGGAAGCAAAACCGTCACGGGCAGGCCTTGCAGCCTGGCCACCTCCCCCCCCCGGCCAGCTGTGACCTCTGCCATTCTCAACCCACCAACCCTGCTGTTTGGGCACGGCCCAAGCAACAAAGGCAGCCTCGGATCACAGCCCCCCAGCCCCCCCCGAGAAACGGAAGAGCCAGTGAGCAGCGAGAGGAAGGCCCTTCTTGGGGGAGGGGGTCCTCCGATTCCCACCCCACCCAGAAGACCCACCAAGGCCTGGACGGTGGGGAAGGGCTGCAGGTCTCGTGGCTTCGGCAGCTTCGGGATCAAGTCCTCAGGATCCACGTTGACCTGGAAGAGGAAGAGGAGGCAGAGGCGGAGGAGGTGAGCCAGGAGCCAAAGGGGGCTTGCTTGTGGCCCTCACCACCAAACAATCCTCCTCTCCGCCTGGACTCTCGGTCCAAGGAAGGGAGGAGAGGCGGCCAGGCAATGGCGTACACCACCCCCACGGAGTGTGGCCCGCGCCACCCTTTTGGGCAGACCAGGGAGCCTACAGCAACCGCGGGATGCTGATGGAACACAAGTGGGTGTCCTGACCGGGCAGAGAGCGCGCGCTGCGTGGCTGTCACGGTCGTGCTCTCCTCCCGGTGGGCTCTGTGGGTGGCAAGGGGTCCCCCTTCCACACGAGCAGCCACCAGCCGTTGAAAGGAGGGATAGCCCTCCTCTCGGTTACCCCGATCCTGAGCCCCCCCAACAGGCGCAGAGGCTCCTGCTCCCACCGAGTTCCTGGATCCCAAGCGCCACCTACCCGCATCTTCCTCTGGCGTGGGCACAGGTAGAGGTCGAGGCAGCGCTCAAAGCGCTCGTGGATGAAGCGGGAGTAAGCGGGCACCCGCCGGAGGCACTCGTGGCGCTGCGGCAGGAAGTTCAGCTTCCGCTCAGAGGGCTCCTGCAGTTCCCAGGCCAGTCTCTGGAGGGAAGGAGGGAGGGAAGGAGGGGGCGTCAGCGTCCCTGAAACCCGCCAGGACAGAAGCCGGCGGCCCCTTCCGAGGCCGGGGCAGGGGGCTGCCTCCCCCTCAACCCACGGCAGCCCTCCACCCTCTGGGCCAAAAGGCAAGGGGCGCTCCCGCCCTTTGACAGGTTTGGAAGAGGGCGAGAGCTCAGCTCCGGGCCGCCTGCCTCCCAGGTGCGCCTGTGCCCTCCAGCTCCCCTCGCGCCAGGACACGGGGCTGAGGGGGCCCCCCCCAGAGCCCCGCTTCCAAAGGGTCTGGCTGTTTCAGGCCCCCCTTCTGGGCAAGGCTGAGCGCCGCCCTCTGCTCCCTCCGCTCACTTCCCCAGCTTCCCCCCCCCGGTGCCCAGTGGGCCAGGCCTGCTCACCTCCTCCTCCGTGGGAAGATACTCGGGTGGGGGGTTGTAGGACTCCTCGTGTCCAGGCAGGGGGAGCTTGGGGGCGGGCACGTGCATCTTGTGGCGCCCCAGGATGGAGTTCGGGTCTTCCTGAGCCCACAGGTCATAGAAGGTCGGCGTGTCCTCCTTGGGCTTGCGTGGCTTGATCCAGCCCATCTTGATGGCGTGGACCAGCCGGGAGACCTGCATGGGAGGGAAGGGTCCCCGCCATAAAGCAGCTGCTGCTGCTGCCTGGGCTGCTTCTGTCGCCCCCCCCCTCCGGCGAGGGCCCTCCCTCGTGAGCCAGGAACTCGGGCCGATCCGGGGACCCTCCCTGCTGCCAGGCCTTGGCGGCTCACCTTCTCCTTCTCCACGAGGGACGGGATGAAGCTGCGCTTGTCGGCTGGCCGGTTGGTCACGGGGTGGATCCTCACCTGGCTGCTGAAGAAGTCCACGGCAGGCTGCAAAGGAGGAGAGGGGAGTTTAGAAGGGTGGGGGCCGCAGGAGAGCGGCCGGTGCTCTGTGGGGCAAGGGGGGGAGGGGCGCCAGGCATTCCCTCACCTCGTACGGATCGAACCGGACGTCCCCAAACTGGCCCTGCTGGAGACGGTGGACCAGCGCCACCTGTTCGTCGGTCAGCTTCACGTCCATGCCCGTCTTTCGGTCGTGGATGGTCCGCCTGCACGGGGGGGGGAGGAGGAGGAGGAGGAAGGAGGAGGTGGACAAGACCCGCCCGTGAGCAGGCTGCTCTCTTAGACCCTCCCCTCCCAGGACAGCCCTGGGGAGCACATCCTCACCCCTGCCCACTTGGGTCAAGGGGGCTACCGCTGAGGCCTCTGTTCCCCCCCCCCGCAAAGGAGCTGGCCATTCTTCCTACGACATACACTGGATCTCGAGGAGGGGAGCGGGGGGACTCTTAGGTGGGGCTCCGAACCCTCTCAGCCTTAGTCACCAGGGCCGGCAATGACGTCCGAGGGGCGGGCTGGGATCCCGCTCCTGGCTCTGCCTGTCGTTTGATAAGGCCCCCCTTTCATGGGTCCCCCCCTTCAGGCCACAGCCACATTCGCACTGGGGCCCCTGATGAAGAGCAAGGGGCCCCCCGGGAGTGCCTAGAGGAGCCGTGGGGGGGTGAGGTGAGAGTGTGCCCCTCTCTCACACACAAGTTGTCCTTCACCTCCAGAAGGAAGGGACGAGGAACAGATCGGGAGGGAGGCGCTTGGCGAAACCGCCCAGGGTTCCTGGGCAGAGGTGGCAGGAAAGGCCCTTCTGGATGAAGCCCCGCAGCCAAGAGGCCACGTGTGGCCCACCCCGCTGCAACTCCAGCTTCTGGTCTGCCGTGGGTTTGCCCCACTTCTGAACGCCCCACTTCACAGCTTTACAGACCTGTGGCACAGAAGGCCCCGAGACAAGGTGACGTGGGAACCAGCATGAGTAACAGGGTGTCTTTATTTATTTAACTATGATTCTATGAACCAGAGGAAAGTGAACTTGGGAGGGAACTAGAAGGCCACCAGAGGGGCAGTATACAAACCAATTGCAGTGGTGCCTCGCTTAATGGGCGCTCCGTTTAGCAACGAAACTGCATAGCGATGAACTTTTTGTGATCGCAAAAGCGATCGCATTGCAATGTTTCCTATGCATTTTTTTCACTTTGCAATGATCGGTTCCCTGTTTCGCTCATCGCAAAGCGATTTTTTAACAGCTGATCGGTTCCAAAATGGCTGCCAGGTTAAAAAAAATGGCCGCCCGCTGTGTTTAGGGACGGATTTCTTGCTTAAGAGGCAGTGAAAATGGCCGCCGTATGGAGGATCTTTGCTTTAAGGTCAGTTTTTTGCCCATAGGAACGCTTTAAACAGGTTTTAATGCGTTTCTATGGGCTTTTTAAAATCGCATAGCGACGAAATCGGTTAGCAGCGATTTTTGCTGCACGGATTAATGTTGCTATGCAAGGCACCACTGTAATTAAAATGTTCCCCACCCCCACCCTTCTCCTTGAAAGAATAAAATAAATGGTGTCCAACCTTCCCCCAAGGCAGGACTACAAAGACATGAAGACAGTGAAGTGTAGCAGAGGGGGCCCATCCTCCCTGCCTCCTCCAAAGACCCCCACCCACTCTCAGCCGGCCCAGAGCCCCTCACCAGTAATCCGGGTTCTCCATCTTTTCCAAGAACTTGTCCAGCTCATCCTTGGTGCGAAGGGGCTTGAAGATCTTCCGGCCATCCAGGTCGTAGCCGATGTGCGGGAAGTCTTGGTACCATTCCATGGGAATGTTGCCCACGGTGTTGCGGATGTCCTGTTGGGGGGGGGGGAAGGAAGGAAGAAGAGAAACTTTGTAGGGGTGTGTGTGAGGGTGAGGAAGACAGAGGCAGGCCTGGGAGGGCCCTCCACACAACAATGCTCGGGGAAAACCTCTG